GTGTGTGTCACCTGTGTCACCCCATCATCCCCCGTGTCACCCCCGTGTCACCCTGACGGGACTGCCCCTACACCTGCTGCTGCTGCGCTGGTACCGGCGGGACAAACGGACACTGCTCAGGTCAGTGTGACACCCCTGTCACCTGTGTGTCACCTGTGTGTCACCTGTGTCACCCCTGTGTCACCCCTGTGTCACCCTGACCGGGCTGCCCCTACACCTGCTGCTGCTGCGCTGGTACCGGAGAGACAAACGGACACTGCTCAGGTCAGTGTGACACCCCTGTCACCTCCCTGTGTCACCTGTGTCACCCCATCATCCCCTGTGTCACCTCCATGTGTCACCCCTGTGTCACCCCTGTGTCACCCTGACCGGGCTGCCCCTACACCTGCTGCTGCTGCGCTGGTACCGGCGGGACAAACGGACACTGCTCAGGTCAGTGTCACACCCCTGTCACCTGTGTGTCACCCCTGTGTCACCCCCGTGTCACCCCTGTGTCACCCTGACGGGACTGCCCCTGCACCTGCTGCTGCTGCGCTGGTACCGGAGGGACAAACGGACACTGCTCAGGTCAGTGTCACACCCCTGTCACCTCCCTGTGTCACCCCCTGTGTCACCTGTGTCACCCCATCATCCCCCGTGTCACCCTGACCGGGCTGCCCCTGCTGCGCTGGTACTGCCAGGACAAACGGTAGGTGTGTCACCCATGTGTCACCCGTGTGTCATCCCTGTGTCACCCCTGTGTCACCCACCGTGTCACCTGTGTGTCACCTGTGTGTCACCCGCTTCCCCCACCAGGACACGAGACGCCTGCTGCGCTGTGACACCTCTGTGACACCCCCTGTGCCATCCCCTGTCACCCCCGGGGGTGTCCCCCATGTCCCTGTCACCCTGGGGGTGTCCCCAATGTCCCCAAGTCCCCCCCTGGGGATGTCCCCAATGTCCCCAATGTCCCCCCCCAGGTCCTACGACGCCTTCTCCACCTTCTTCCTCAACTCGCAGGGGCTCATCCGCTGCCACCGCGTGGACAAGGTGAGTCTGGGGACACCCTGGGGACACCCTGGGGACACTTTGGGGACACTG